TATCCTTGCGAAACAGTGTTGCTACACCAAAGGTACACACCCGCTTCCACACTTCTCCCTGTGGTTTGGTCCCCAGCTGGGAAACAAACTCTGCTACAAGTTCCTCACTCTTCACTTCCTTCCTCCTGATGCAATCCACCAGCCCACGACAAAGCAATGTTACTCTTGAATCAGAGATGGGTGCAATTGGTGAGCCTTCCCTCCTTTTTTTGATACAATCTAGCAGCTACAAAGTCAGGGGCATCCTCAACACAGCAAGTACTGCCGAGTGTTCATAGAGGTGCAGCTGGATTATAGCAATCATCTGAAAAGGGGAAAATAACATCTTGAGATGAGTGCAAGCCTCCCAGTGCCAAAACATTTGTTGTTGCCTTATCAGCAGATCAGCTGATGATACAGCAGTTATAACTGCTGGCTGTTCCTTTAACAAAGATGCTCACGAGTGCAGCATATAAATACAACAGTGGTCTCCAGTACTCACCAGAAGCTTACTGCAGCAATGAAACTGTCATACGGAGACCAAAGGCTACTTACAGTCTTCATGGTGCTCCTCCTTGGGCTCTCCAGGTGTCTGAGGTTACAGCTGCATTCCCCAAATTTACAGTGTCTACCAGCTAATGTTATTTTGGGAGTTGAATACATATCTGGGATCCAGAGGAACATCACTAAATCAAACAATTCCCTAATTACAGGGGCTAAGCAAAAAAGAATTTAATGACCATGTTGCATCATCATATTAAAAAGAACACAGCCCTTCCCACCAGGAATGAAAGCTACTTATTAAATCAGTCTGCCCATTATTCCAATGGAGACTGCCCTCGCAGGCTGCCAGGGGGCTAATGACAGCCACTGCCCTCTGCACCTCTCCCACGGGAAGCTGCTGTCAAAACTGAGCAACGCAGAGGCCAAGGTGTATGGAGGCCTTTGGTGTGATGGAACGGGACATGGATGGGCTCTCCTGGCTGACATCCCCAAGCACCAAGTCTTCTCATTCTGTTAGATGAAGCAGAAGCCAATCCATTGCCTGTGTAAATTGTCCCGGAGGTGAAGGTGAGAGTAGAGCAGACCCTTCCCTCTATCACTCCATTCATCCTGCTACCTACTGAGCCACTGACAGTTACACTGTTCACATGCGTATTTACATTCAATTAATTTCCCACATGTCTTCTGGGCTAAAACCCATTCCTAGAAGGGAGGGAACTGCTGTTTTGATTTGGAAGTGAAAAACTAGAGACAAAGTGAGATAATGTTTTTTTGGTTCTGCTCAGACTCAGTCTTTACATTTTAGACAATATTGTCATTTAAAAAAAAAAAAAAAAAAAAAAAAAAAAAAAAAAAAAAGGAGAGATAAATTTGTAGCTTCCCCCAGACTCAGAGAAAGTAAGAGCCTCTGCTTTTCAAGTAACTGTGATTGTAACTAAAGTGTGACAGTGGAAAGAGGAGTGTTGAAGATAACAGACCAATTAAATGCTGACTTTTAAAAAGAGGAAGAGGTAGAAGACTTAATAGAATTTGAACATGTTGAAAAAAGCCTAGAAAAGATAGAAGACTTCATTTAGCAAATAATCATGGTCAGAAAGGGCTTAACGTGACATTTTGTCTGGGCCATTTCTAGCCAGGAGTGACGCATGGGTGGCTACTCCCTTTGCTACAGCTGCCGAGTCTTGTCCTCTAATTATAAGAGCAAAGAATTTTCTACAGATTGATACAGAGCAGCCCATTAGAGCAAACTGTTTTAAAGGGAACAATAACACACAGCGATGGGAGATATCACCAAGCAGACAGAACAATTTTCACTGGGTTAAGAAAGCGACCTTTGTGGACAGGCACAGCCACAGCCTGCATAATTGGCTGATAGTTGGCTTATATGTGCTTTATGTGTGGTACTTGGCACTATATTTGGATGCAAAGAGAACATGCTATGCATTGTGTATCTACAGCTTGAGAGAAGAGCAAACATCAGAGCTGATGAACAATACCAATATATATTTCATAACCATTACACCAAAAAAGGCATGCTGTAATGCTTTCAAACCATTTTTGAAAGTGCTGTGAAAGATTCTGATAGATGTGCTGTATTATGAAAAGGGTAAGAGGTTGGACAGGGAATAGGAGGACCTTGGCTGCAGCACATCTCTCCATTCTTGTGCTGACTGGCAGGAGGGCAGGGGAGCTGACTGCTGCTTTGGTCCTTAAAGATGCCCCTAGGAGAAGGAGGCCACTCCATAAATTGCTGATTCAGTGTGAAAGCAAGGAGACCTGCAGCACTGAGACCATCACCACTCCCACACCCAGCTGAGTAGTCAGACACCTGGCAGCTTAATCACAGCCCAAAGCCCAGGGAGGGCTTTTAAGGAAGACGGACTCTCCTAGCTGTGGGCATGTTATAAACTAGATTCCTGCATAGCTCTGCAAATCTCAGAACTGCAGTGTTGACATGGTATCCAGTAATGCCCATCAGTCGCTTCCTCATCTCAACAGCAGCTGTGTTTTCTGCAAGAGGAGTGGTAGCTAAAAATAATCTGGTTTTGACTTCCTCTTTCAAACCCTCCAGTCTCTTTTCAAAAGATTTTTTTTTCTCCCAGAAACAGCAAGGAGAATGTAACAGACAAAACCAGAACAGTCACCTGCACAAAGAGAACAGCAGCATTAGAAAGCTTAGAGAACAGTAGGAAACTACAATAAAGATCAGGGACAGTAAAAAAACCTGTTACAGTTCTGAGCAACATCCTCCAAATTCCCTTTCACACTTGCAGTGAGCTTTCTGTTAGGCCTCTATTTGTATGAGCCAGTTAGTGGTGCTGATCAAAAGGGGAATACAACCTGGATGTTTCTGAATTCATTTGCTCATTAAAACATACTAAAAGAAAGAACAGTGCTCAGTAATCACTGTGCACTCATGGCTGCACAGTGGAGATTTTTACTCCCTCATGGAATAAATATGTTTTACTTTTATTTGTGTCATCCATAGATCTACAAAATGTGTCAATCCCACACCAAACATGCAAATGGAGAAAACAGAATATTCAATTCATCCTTCAGTAACATAGCACTATGTATTCTCCTCCAACAACTATTCTACAAATACAGGGCTGGTAGGCATCTCCAGACTGCAACATGCAGCTGCTTCACATAATCCTTTTCATAAACCTACTTAATTCTATATTAAAATATTTAGGAGTTTCATGTATAATTTTTCAATTGCAGCCTATAATTAGTCTGATACAGACTGTACCTGAAAACTCATCAAGGCAGGGACGATGGCCTCTATTTGAATCTATTCTTCCAGAAGATCCCTACTCCCATTAGGTATCTCTGGACACTACCAAACTATAAATAAAATCATAAGTGGAATTCAGGCTGTGACTTACAAACCTGCTGCTAATAGACCAACATCTGAAGTGAGCACAATACAAGGGACAGAAAGAGAAATGGTAAATACATTCCTGTCTCCTACCATGTGTCTCAAATTCTAAATAAATGTACAATATAAAGGTTAGAAAGTATACAAGAAAGCATGCTACTGTATATAGGTATTATACCATATACTGTGAGCTTTACCTACAGCATAGCTATTAACGTGGTTTTATCCCTTCTCAAATCTCAACACCAGAAACCACAAGCAACTCTCATAGCACTGAAGCATTGACAGTCACCTCACACCTGGGCAAATCAGAAGTGAAGACAGAACCACCACCTAGGCAGGAGATTACAGGAGCTTCTCCTTCCTCTCCCTGAATCCTGTCTCCACGTGGCAGAAAGCACCACTCTCTCTTACCTTCTCCCTTCTCAGCTGCACCCCCTCACCATTTCCACTTTCACCACACTCTCCTGCTGATTTCCTACTTCCTGGTTCCTTTGCTCAGCCTCACTGGGGTAACCCTACATTCCAATTTCAGGGGTCATCTCTGGGCCAAAGAAGATGCTGAGCCCAGACAGTGCTTAGCACCATCTGTGAGCTACCTCCCAGGCATTCTTGGGTAAATCTCCCTGTGTACCAGGGCCAGCACAGCACCTCTGCACCACCGACAGCTCTAGAAAGGGGTAAGAGAAGCACAGACATTACTGGTTAATTGTGACCAGGGCTTCTCCTTCAGCAGTATACAACACTAGATAAGAAGCAGCAAAAATAATGAAATCTTTAAATAGCTTGGTAAGTGGTGTTAAAAGTAATCACAAGAACATAGAATATTAAGTAGATTTTGGTACCTTTTTAATGGGAAAATGAAGAAAAACAGGAGTTCCAGTATACCACAACAAAGAAACAGAGGAAGTAAAAGATCTGTAAAGTAAACTGAATCCAAACATAAGCAATGCTTTATTGGGATATAGCAAGCAACCTATCAAATAGGGAACTGGTACAAACAGATCAAACAAGACTCTCTTTTAACAGAGATGTATGGTGACGAGACAGCTTCTTTTAGTTTTTAAAATAAGTATTCAAACCATTAAGTAAAGCATTAAAAAAAAAAATAAAAAATCAACCATTACAACACCAATGACAGACAATATTAAAAATGGGCAGAATTTTACTTTTTACAAATTTCTGCATAATGTTAGAAAACAAGTTATCATAAATTAAAAAAGGAATAAAAGGAAGGTTTCTTTTGTTTTGCAAAGCAACATGAACTTTTAAAAACCAACTATACTTTACATAGAACTACTATTAAAAACAGGTGAAAACAAGCTGAAAATTTAAAGGGACAGCAAAAAATACACAATCCAGTTTCACCTGTCAGCAACACCTTCTGCTATCGAAGGGGTTATGTTAGTTGTATGTACAGCTTTAAACATTGCAGCATACCACAAGTAAACCTTAATAAGGTCAAAATAGGACCCTCTGCAAAAAAGGGTGAGTTGGCAAGCGTCAGTCCCATCCTAAAATTATAAGTAGTAATAAGTTTAGTAGGTCTTTAGTGTAAACCAAAACCTACTTTAACTGGTTTCTATCTCCCAAAGATGCATGTAAACTTTATCAGCAGGGGAGGGGGGGGTGGGGGCTGTTTGGTATTTTAATTCATGAAATCAAGAACATGTCTAGCTCAAAAATGAGAATGACATACCTCCCTTTTGTTCTGGATACAGTGATGTAGCTATCTCAACATGCTCATTGACACTTCCTAAAAGAGAAAATTGTTATCTACTATCTAAAAAATACACACCACCTCTCTCAGTTCAGACTCAGTACATAGTATATTGCCAACTCTATCCAATAGGATATATATCATAATTTGGTTTAAATTCTTAATAGATATATTCTCTCTTTACAAAGTTCCATCACATGAAACCAAATTGCTTATTTATTGTTTGAGGCACAACGTGACCCCAATTAGACAATTCGCTATAAAGAGTTGTTCTTTAGATGTTGTGTCTGTAGAGGTTTTACGTGATATTCATAGATTTTCAGCGCAGGCCCCAGTTTTAATGAAAGTCCAGTCAGTACATCATTTCTTGTCATCAACAGTAATGATTTGCCATCAATTTCCTATAAGAAGAATTAAAGAGTTGATAAAGACAAATGTACAAATCTAACAGATGAGAACAGTCATGCAACACATGGAAGACTCCTACAGAGGATCAATGAAAAAAGAAATAGTAGCCTTTATTTTCCTGAAACTATGTTTATAGCTGCTAAATTCTGCTGTCTACTTTCCAGTTCTCATCTGTGCTAAGGCATAAATACTACTTAGTCAAGCACAAAACCCAAATGAGCATAATTTCAAAATTCCCTCTTTGTAAATCTGTTTCAAATTAATAAGTACATGTGCAGATTGTCTAATTATCAGCCACTGAGGGAAGGATACTCTTTAAGAAAAAGGCTTATGAAGTGCATTTCAGAAGAATTACCATTGACAGCAATGTGCAAGTTTGGACTAGTCGGTATCTGCTAATAATTTCAGGTGCCTTCTTTAAAAGGCCAACCTTCCCATGAGTCTGGGGTGGGAGGCAGGCAAGACTCCTGCAGTCAGAAATTTCAGAAGTGCCTATCTGCAGAGCTCAACACTGAAGGAATTTCTCTTCCTTCACTTACAACAGAAGAGGCTAAAAGCAGCAACTTCCCAGCTTAGGTCTCAACAACCCTTGCTTGTTCCTGCTTAAAATTCTCACTTCTAAGTCACAGATATGTGGGTTGTTGGTATTTTTTTTTTTTTCTTCTCAAACCTTGGCTTTTTGACCTATTTAGATTAGAAATCCTGTAGGATTTGGGGTTTCTTCCACCTCAAACCTTGTTGTATGTTTAAAAACTACCTATAAATGATTTTTCAAAGGTCAAAATGGAAGAGAAAAAATCGACCTCTCTCAGATCCCATTTGTTTTAGACATGGTACCATCCTTTTCTTTACACATTCCTACACTTCAGTCACACTGCACTACTCAGGAAACAGCAGCTACAGCTACACAACAATGCATTGACTGGTGTCTCGCAACACAGCAGTCCTCCTAAGGTTGTCACAGCCCAAAGTAGTATGTAGTCTTATGGCATTTCTCCTGCGCTGGACTTCACTCTACTGTTCCATTCTTTTTGACTTTTAATTAAAAAAAACCCTGTTAAATGTTGAACTTGTTATCAGTAGCCAACAACCAGTTCAAATGCTTGCATATGTTATTGTTGTCCATGATCATATATTGCCCAAAGTTTGTATTTTATAAATATTATAAACATCACACATCAATTTATCCCACTGCAGCATCTTCCTTAGAAATATTAAATGTTGTCTTGGAAATGTCAGAGATCCCATTTTTGATTACAACTCAATGTGAAAAGAGGAGCTTATATAAGAGTTCAGCACGAATTTGTCCAGACTGACCTCTCTTATGATTTGATAGTTTATAAATACAAAATACATGGACAAACCGCTATATAGTCAAAGCTAAGCTGAAAGTGGAATTTCTTTAAAATGTCTCTAATAGATATGACTGCTAATCTCTCAGAGGAGCGCAATGTAACAGTATTTCTAAAAGAAAAATGTTTCTAATAACTTTTTACACAATTACAGCAGGTGCCTCTTTCCAATTACTGTTGAGAATGTTAATGGTTAAAACCAGTTTCTATCCTCTCTTTTCCATTTGTCGCAATTGTTTCTGTGGGAATTTTGACACCAGTGAGTATTTTGCTCATTGCTATGACTGATCTGAAGTTGCCTTTTCTGCTGCTGTTCAATGATGCTATGGAGGCAGAACCAGTCTCCAGCTTGGCATGATCCAAAGGAAGTAAGTCCAGTACCTGGAATAGGAGAAACTCCAAGAATAGGGAAAAAAAAATCTATTCATTTCCCCCCTTCTTCCACGGGGTTCCCATGAATTCTAGAAATGTTGGTAACCACTAAGGCTTTTACCGAATAGGAAACTGATTCTCTAAACATATCGGGGTAGAAATTAGTAATTACATATTCAGAATTCAGTTTATATCTTTGTGTGTACTGTAAGCTTTACCTCTTCCACTGCTTTTTAGTCTTCCACTTAAACCTATTTCTGTAGGTTTGTCATAGTAATTCCAGGTTTTGTACCAGGTAATTTTGTATGCTTTGGTGACTTATCAGAATTTCTTCTCTGCGACTTCTCTATTTTCTGGATTTTTTTTCAGGATGCCACTTCAATGTGACCTTTTGGTATACCTTTTTAATGTCATCTGCAGAGGCACCCCTCTGCACAACTAGAGCTAACAGTAATTCCCCACTGTGCCAGGATGACCTCAGCAGCAATAGCTATTGTCTTCAGCAAATAATCAGAGGACTAGTTAAGCTTAAAGTCCTCCCAGCACTCTTTCTGCTCTTTCTCCAAGTGACTGCAAACTACAAGGTTTTACAGTACAGCTAACACAAAAGCACAGCAGCCAGCACTCTCACACACTCATCCATGCCATGGCTCTGCCAGAAAGCAGCAGTGGACAAAAGCTAGCATCAAATTCCAGTTTCCTTCTGGCAAGGCACTGCACTGAGGCCAGCAAACTACCATTGGGTTACTTGGGCTTGTCTGGCTATCACAATACCAATGGTTAAGAAGCCACATGGGCAGTAATGAAGGTCAGGCATAGCACTAGCATGTCTTGAGACATGGCAGACAGCTTCATCCATTGAGTGAGCCACAGTCCCCTGTGCTCCCAGAGCTCCTAGAGAAAGCTCAGCCATGTACTGGCAAGCAGCAGTTCTTTAAAAGGTGTTCACACCCTCATCTTCCATCTGGTCTGCTTCTCTCTTTAGTTATCCTGTGCCCCCAGCTCCTTGGCTTGTCTGATTTGCTTGATGATGTTATATTTTTCTGTTACTGGGCAACATCTTTCAGCTGAATCTGTTTTCAACAGTGAGCCCTTTTGACTTGCTGACATGAGTGGAAGTCCATGAAGGAATAATGTATAATCATCATACAATCATCACTTCTAACCAGCATTTAAAATACATTTTTAATAAAACATTCTGTAGTCCTTAAATGTCTTCTCATTTTCCTTAAAATGTTGTAATAAAAATTCAGGTCTTAAAAATTCTTTGAGTCACTTGTTTCGGGCGAGTCCAGATGTATGCAGATTCATCAAAAGAAAGCGTGGACTCAGTTACTGTTGTGTAAAAGCTGAGTGTAATAATAGATCTCACGATTACATTCTGAGCTATGGATGTTTCGTAAGGAAATCATTGTGCTACCCCTACTGAAGCAATTCAGTGGAAAACAATTTCCCAGTGTTGTAGGTGAAACAGAATACTTTACCATTATCAACCTCATTCCCTGTCCAGTACATATTCAGGGAAGTAGCAGATCAAATAAATTTAGGTTTCTGTGGCCCCAGGCAAGCTGCAGTACAAATGGTAAAGAGATAGCCAGAACTTCAGCTGCATGCCTGATGACTCGATAGACAGAGCATGGCTAAGGGTTCAAAGAAAACCCGACTGCACTGCCTACCTGGAAGACCTGGGAGATCTTGATAATAAATACCATAACTACACAGAGTTAAAGTTAGTGGCTAGTAAACAGTGTAGAGGAAACAGAACACCACCAATAGTAAGGGACAGGGTTGTTCCTGGGGCTGTTCCTGGTGCAGGCAAGGAATGGGCTGGCAGAACTGGCAGGGAGAACCAGGCACTTGCTGCTCCTCATGTTGCTAAGGGAATGGAGAGAGAAGGAAGTGGCAATGACTTCTGCTGTGAGTGTCTGTCCCACATCTCCTGGCCGCATCCTGGTGGCAGCTGTCAGCCTCCCTCTCCAAGGCTTTGGCATAAAGTGAAGTTGGCAGTGGAATCACAGCCACATTTCTGCCCATGGCTATCCTAGCAAAGCCCTGGCAACACACTGCCAAAAATCAGCTTACTTCAGCTATCCTCCTGAAGCCACTTGCCCTCACTGCAGAATACTAATAAAACCTTTACACTCTACTTCTATGCTGCTTTCCATCAGGCTGTTGCAAATTGCTTTGCCAAAACTCATGAGTTAGCCTCACCTTTCTGCTGCAAGATCAGTAGTAATTACTGCAGTATTACTGACAAGCCAGCTAAGGTGCCGAGAGGTTAAGATATTTGATGAAAGTCAGAGATATCTGTCAGTATAAGGAAAAAACCCCAGAGGCTCCAATTACTTTGCCTGTGTGTTTTTTCAAGCCACATTTCCAGGGCTGTTGAGGAGACATGGGTGCTGGTATTAAGGAATGGATACACTTAAACAGGGGTTTTTGCCTGTTTACCTGTCTTCAAATTCTGAAAAGTTAGTAGCAGCTGCAGAAAGAGCCTCTCTCTGCACCCTGCCAGAGAATTACCCAACACTAGGCTTTTCACCCCCAAGTACAAAGAGCTAAATTTAGATACTCTGTTATACTCATCAGTTACAATCGGATGGGATTTCACTGTCCAGGTGCTGAAGGTCAGCAAGATTGACCTCACCAACAGTAACATTATTTCATGTTAGATGTACAGTTTCCCTGCAAAGCTGCCAATAACTTGCACTACCCCCGTGCCTTGGAAGGTCAAACCATCTATTTTAGTAACTAAATACAAGTGTTGACAATAGATTTCCTTATAGTTGCACGCAAACCTATATACTTACCAGGGAAGGTACTGAACTGACAACCTGGAGATGTAAGTTCATAGAATCACAGAATGGTTTGGGTTGTAAGGGACCTTAAAGATCCTCTATTTCCAACCCCCCTGCCATGGGCAGGGACACCTTCCACCAGCCCAGGTTGCTCAAAGCCCCGTCCAACCTGGCCTTGAACCCTTCCAGTGAGGGGGCAGCCACAGCTTCTCTGGGCAACCTGTGCCAGTGTCTCACCCACCTCACAGGGAAGAATTCCTTCCTTATATCTAATCTAAATCTACTCTCTTTCAGTTTAAAACCATTACCCCTCGTCCTATCCCTACATTGCCTGATAAGGAGTCCCTCCACAGCTTTCCTGTAGCCCCCTTTAAGCACTGGAAGGCTGCTATAAGGTCTCCCCAGAGCCTTCTCTTCTCCAGGCTGAACAACCCCAACTCTCTCAGCCTGTCCTCATAAGGCAGGTGGTCCAGGTCCTTGATCATCTTCGTAGCCCTAACTTCCTTCTCTATGGAACAGGTGGGCTGTAGGCCAAGTAAGCCACCATCCCTATCCTGCCCCACTAACACCAGTGTGCTGACAGGTGATTTACAAGGGGCCATATGTCTGTTAAACTCTTTGATGATCAAATCTACCGAAAGAAGCTGTCCATCAGCATCAGCAGTTACAAGGCCCAGAAATGAAGACCCAACCTCTTTCTCAGACTGAGTCCTGCAAACATGCTGCTCCTGTGCATAAAAAGATTCTTCCCCCTTATTGCCAACTTTTCTTTCCCTGTTCACTTGTACTGCCAAGCTCAGTGCAACACGGCAGCCCCTTTTTCATCCTAGGTCTTCAAAAGCAACTTGCTTCTTAGGAGCCCTGGATTTCACAAATACTCATGAGAGTATTTGTACAATACACTAAGGAAGAAAGGAATTACTGTTCACATTTTAAATAACAGGACAGTGAAACTGAGTGAGTTGTATAGGAAAACTGAGTCCAAGCCAGCAAATTTGTTTAGATTCCTCACCTTTCAGATTACTTTTAAACAAACTCCCACCCATTATCCACACCTTGTGGAACAGTATTATTACTCAAAGATCATAGTCCCATGGATTTTTACCCAATAACGCACTCAGATCCCCATATTAACATGTGATTTTCACTCCCATTTAACAGTATATAAGCAGGTCCATGGCAAAAAAAATGTGCAATGTGAGAAACTGGTGGCAGTTAAAAGGTGTTTCCTAAAAGATTTACCTGTTCTTGAAAAGCATTGGCTTGTTCTTCAAATCCAGCTGTTCTGAAATAATTCACAACATCGATAACAGCCCAGTCAGCAGGATCCGGAGGTCTCCCATTCTCTACTGAACTGCAAAGTGCAAATCCAGACAAGTAATCACTAAATGTGTGCAGAGCATCTGCTGCTGCTTTGTGCACACCCCATGTACATCCCCTTGTTCATCCAGGAAAAGTATCCTTTGACACACCTCCACCCGCCTTAATAGTCACTCCTGTCCTCTTCCATGTCAAAGATCTGATGCTGGGGACAACTGAGGTACCTCTCCCTTCAGAAAAGAAGAAAGTATATGAATCTTCACATCAGCCAAAGATAGTGTCAGGATCTTTTCCTGCAAGTGTGCTGCCTTTGTGGTTGGACAACAAAGACTACCATGATTGAGGTACCAAATTCCTGTCTTTCAAGACTGCAGCTTGTTTTCAGCTACCAGGTACTTATAAAGAATTGCACCATGTGGATTATTCTTTTCCCAGATGAGCCTGTGCTTCTTTGTAACATGAGTAGAAACTACTGGAAACCATCTTTACTTGTAAAACAAAACAAAACAAAACAAAACAAAACAAAAAAAGAGGAACCAATGATTGCACTAATTGCTCAATATAGAAAAATTCCCAAAATTGCTTTTGGACTCAACTTTGGACAAATCTATGGACTTTTTAAATACTTAGGAGCCCAAGAAAACATCTGTTAAACACAATCAGAACAAATTCCTTCTGTGATTCACTGACCTCAGGCAATTGTTTTCCACAGTAGCAAAACCAACCAATCATTCATATTACTAAGCTTATCCTGCATCTCCTATCCTCAACCTATCTCAGATAACCTTTGTGCATTGGCAAATTCTTGGTAAAAAAGACAGTGAGCTTGATTGCCTTTCCTATAGCAATTTAGGAGGATGAAAAGCAAGACATCAAAAGAAAGAACTTCTTTAACATGTCTCTCCAACTAGAAGTCCCAAAGTTCATGCCAGATGTTTTACACTTTCTGCATGCTTAATCATAACGCTAGTGAAGAAATATCAAAAATGTACACATCAGGGCAGATGTCAGAATCCTGTCCATTTCAGGTCCTAAAGCTTAGAGGTAGGACTTGGATTTTCAATGGTACCAGCTGGAAAAGGAACACAGATAATTTTTCCTTCTCCCCTCACTCTTGGAATGTACCTCTCAACATGTCAACAAAATTCTGGCCCGAGGGACTCACACTGCAACCTCAGTATCACTCTGTATGGTGCATTTGGTCTTCTATGAGCAGTTTTTTTCACTTATCAAATGGAATATACACATATCTTGGAGCAATGAGCAAAGGGCCAGCGTTTCTTACTTTTGCTCATCAAGTAATGGCTTACTTCATAAATCACTTCACTGATTGTGATTACACAGAAAGGCAACACTCAGCAAAATTGAAAATGAGACTATCTGGCCTTATCAGAGCTGCGCTATTTTTTTTTTTTTTTTTTTTTTTTAAGCCTTTCAATTAAGATTTTTGGTGTTGTGTACATTGTGAGACTTAAGAAGTAAAATGTGAAAAGTGCCACACAAAACCTACACATTTGTAAAAGCAGCATTTGAAGAACTATATTTAAATCTGCATTTTCCCTAAGATGTTAACTGTCACTTTAAATGACTCATCTTCTACTTAAAATAAACTAACAAAACCCCAACTCAGTATATTGAAAAAAAAGCCCAACATAATAAATCCTAGAAGACATTTAAGTCTTCCTAAATAGCAAATAAAAGATTCAATCTATAAAAATACCTCCTAAACTCTATTTTGATTACTTCCCAGAACACTTTAATTTCAAGCTAAATATGGTCCCAAACTCTCGCTCCCACAATTTTGTATTTCAGCCCAGGTGCGTTAATTCTTCACATAGCTCTTCTTTTACCACTAGGGAACTACAGCTTGGTCCAGCCCCATCCCAGGTTCAACTGCAGTGACTTCAGAGGCTGTACCTCAGTCATTAACTAATCACAGGAAATAACAGCAAGTTCCTGCCTCAAGGAGTAGCATCATGCTGGACCTCAAGTGGAGCCAATTTCCACAGCTACAGCTGCAGAAGACTCAAAGGCATGTGGTAGACTGTTGGAGGCTGCCTGGATTTTAACCCATCTACTCACACAGATGCTCATTTGGCTTCTAGACTTCAACAGTCTCCTCCTTGCCCTGCTGTTGCACAGGGCTCTATTCTTTAGACAAGAAAAGGGAATATATAACAGCCATGGCTTAGCCATACACCAGTTCATGCCAGACATCCTGGATGCTGTAAAATCTTAAGGGGACCGGCATTTTAGGCATTGTAACAAGATACTACATGCACTGATAATGAATAAAGATTAGGTTTGTCTGCTCTCCACCACTGTCCCTATGCCTTTATTGCCATCATGTGGCAGAAGCAGCAAGGCCCGAAAGGATATAGCTGTGAACAAACAGATTTTATCCAAGCTATTTATAACCACTTCAAGAAAGTGCCAACTACTTTTTTTGTAGATATGCGCACATACATACTCTATACACTCATTTAGAAACTACAGCTCCTGATCAGTTTAATGACAATCCCCACTGGTTTTGAAAAGCCACCTTCAAAATTAGTAGTTGAGCCTTTATCACCTAAGCCTCAGCAGAAAATGATTAAATGTAAATGTCCTTGCTTTGACTGCTTCCTTTCTCCTCCCACCACAGAGTCCTCACTGTAGAAGCAAGACTGCCAGCTGAAGGTGGTTTCTGAGGGACATACATAATATAATCTATTCATAGTCACTGAATAGGAAAATGCATTTTATGGTGGTGTGGTGTAACCAATGTCTCAAGCAAAAGGGGACCCTGCTGATTTTAATGGCTGCCATCAGATCTTTTGATGCTGTGTCATAATCAGGTATTTTATCATCATCCTGAAGTGACTGTTGTTAATATTATTTATATTACTCTAGTGCCTGGAAGCCTAAGCATTGTCAAGTTTTCTTGGAAGGCTTATGGAAAACACATCTGAAGGATAAAAATGAGGTGCAGCTTTGCAGAAGTGTTGCAGTTTGAGAGAGAGAATGAAGACTAAGAACTCTCTCTAGTGCCTTTCTTTGTGGTTTGTTTGTGTTGTTGGTGGTGTTTTTTTAACTTATCTATATATGTATATATCTATCTCAGCAAGGCTTCTCTAACCCTAAAGCAGCAAGGCCAAATTTTTCCACACAGAACTCCACTTCTCAGATGGTAACTTCATTCAGAATTGCTAGTCCTAATCTAAGAATTGCTGACCTTTGAGGATACAGAAATGCCTCCAAAACCGTTTCTATCCCTCAGCCTGCAGTCTACCACACTAAAGAAAACTGCGGAGCAGTGCACACCATGTCTCTGCCTTATTCCCACCCTAGGTCTGAAGTAAAAGCCCAGCAGTTTAGGGCTTCTCCAGCAAACAAAAGATCTGTTCCAGAAGAGAACTGGTATCAAAGACATATGCTGCTGCTGCTACTACTTCTCAGCTTTAGATGGCTGGGCAGTCAGCAGACAAAGGCTCTGAATGAGACAGAGGAGACTTCCACACAGGACACCTCACTCCATCAGGCACCAGTTCTGCAAAAGCCACTAGCAGGCAGGTGAGCAGAGGTAGAGTACTGGTTACAGTCCTACCACTTGCTTTAGTCTCTCGTTGAGAGAAAAAATCAATGGAGAAAGGTATACCACTGACTTAAGTTACTAGCTTCTACATCTCTCCGTTGCTATACAGTCCTCCCACATATCACTTTTAATCAATTCAGTGCCTGAGACTCTTCTATATCGAAGTTGAAATACAGTAAAAGTAATTGAGAACAGGGAAGATTTGAAATGAGCAAAGATGGAGGTGCCCACCACTGACAACCACATTAAGTCAAAGGAAAACTACAATCAAAATCCATGTGCTGTTTACATAAACTGAACACTATGGATTCACTTACTTTTTGACATCCAGAGAGCCATTTTCCTTGTTTTCCATGTCAACAGTTAGCATGGGGAGGATAGAGGTTTCTTTTACTTCAGCAACTGATCAATAGGGGGGAAAAAAGCTGGTTTAATTATTGGTAGTATGAAAAGAGCAACATAATGTAACAGAAAGAAGCATTCTACAGGGACACAACCATATTTCCATCTGAGACCAAAGGTGCTGTCAAAGACTGCTTTCCTGAGAAGCCTGGCAAAGCTGATAATGGCTAATGAACTAGGAAAAGCTGACCTGTGCTTCAAACACAAGAAACTGCTTATGCCTGAAAAACAAGGAAGGTAATGTTACATTTGATCTTTTTTGAAACTCATAAAATTTTGATCAAACTCTACATTCATACACATAGAGAGTGACCTGCAATACCTAGCTAGATTTCAAGAGAGCTTATTATGCCTTCAGTCATCCTGCTATAGAGAGGATCCAAACAGACATCTGATCTTATCCCTAGTGGGGTTTTGAAATCCCATGGCCTTGTTTTACAAATGGGGAATCTGGGATACAGATGAGTGCTAAGTGACTTATGCCCATCTCGCACACAAAGCTGGTAAGCAGAGTTACTAATTCAGCGCCAAACTCCCAAGGCCTAAATATCTGCATCTTTTCATGAGACCATCCTTCCTGCACTAGCACAGCTTCTTCTACGGGTATGGTATACTGAACTCTAAAAAGGAAAGAAGCATACGAAGGACATGGGAGAAAATCCAGTTTGTTTCCCTCCTTGCAGCATGATGGAGTACTTTCACCACACAGCGTTTTCCACCACTCCACCGAACATGCAGAAATGACCGGAGCCTTTTCTTTCTGTTCTCAAGTAAGCCATTTCTATTTCAGAGAGCACCAAAGAACTGACCAAGGACTCGGGATGTTCTTGCTGTAGCATTAATGGATGCCAGTGAAATGTCACAGAGCTCTGGAAGTACAGAATAGGGAAATCACGCTCTTCAGCTAAAACTTTGCAAAAACAGAGGATAGCAATTAATACTGCTGTCAAAAAAAAAGAAAAAAAAAGAAGAAAAAAAGACCCTTTATTATACAGCTAGCAGCACGTAAAGCACCAAGAAAGCAGTATCAAACTCATCAAAAAGATGCTTCTTCCTGCACCGCTGACCACGTAACTCAACGCATTCCCTCAAATCACTTCTTGGTTCACCTGAGGTGACTGCAAAACGCCAACCGCACCAGCCCGTCTGCGGAAGGTCCCCTCGCCCGGCCGCGCAGGAC